TTCTTGGGATTTCTATTATGATGAGACATGCAAGCATACAGCAATAACTAGAGAAAATTATCATTGCTCTGCAGAAAATTAAAACAGAGTAAACTCATATGAATGACTGGGTTGTGGCCGGGCACAGTGGCTCACTCCTGTAATCCCAGCACTTTGGGAGGCCGAAGCAGGCAGATCACGAAGTAAAGAGTTCGAGACCAGCCTGGCCAATATGGTGAAACCCCATCTCCACTAAAAATACAAAAATTAGCCTGGTGTGGTGGCACACGCCTGTAGTCCCAGCTACTTAGGAGGCTGAGACAGAAGAATCGCTTGAACCCGGGAGGTGGGATTGCAGTGAGCTGAGATCATGCCATTGCACTCCAGCCTGGGCGACAAAGTGAGACTTCATCTTAAAAAAAAAAAAAAAAAAAAAAAGACTGGATTGTCACTTTAAACAGCGGAATACAGAATGTAAGAGCAGGAAACCTGGATTTAAAGTATCTGGGTTTGATTTTTGGCTTTACCACCTATTTGCTTTGCAGCCATTAGCAAATTACCCACCCGATCTTTACCTCAGTGTCCATGTCTATAAAGTGGGAATAATGAGAATACCTACTTCACAAACTTGTTGTGAAGATTAAGAAAATATATGTAAAGCACTTAGAACAGTGCCAAGACATAGAGAGTTACCAAAATAAATGTTACCTGCTGTTTTAGAACAGAATGACCACAGGTAACATTTAAGGTGATTCCTGGCCTCGGAGCACAAATGTAGTAATTGTCATCTTCTTGCACATAACCAGTTGAATCCCAGAAATGAAACGCTCATATTCTTTGGTTTATATTTTTAAAACAACAAATCTTTTCAATAATGGAATTGTGAATATAAATTATACTAATGTCTTGTGTTTACATACTAACTTTAAATAAAAATTGCTATTTGAAACAAGATTGTAAAACAATAAAACTGAGACCAAAAAAAAAAACTCCCCCCTCTGCTGCTTCAGCTACTTCTCCCTAGACTTCTTGTAATGTCACTTCCTCTTCTATCCCCTTCAGAAAACTCCAAACTATCCCCAACTCTGGACTTCAGGTTCAGAAAGCTTTAGTCACTGATAGCTCTGGTGTTTTGAAACTTCCAGGGGCTCTGCAAATAAGCTGTGCTTCAGGAGTTTCTGTCTGTGTTTAAAACATGTCTGTTTAGTGGTTGTTTCCATTATGAGAAATCTGGGAGAGTTTCTTTGTCCCTTCAAACATCAAGCCTCTAACATCTTACATCAGCATCTTAGTTAATGCCCTAATTTATGACCACGTTTTGGGTGGCCTGATAAGAATGGAGCCAAAAAAAAAAAAGTCCTTACTTAGGACGTTGTCCTGTAGGCCCTGGTAACACTACTTCTTTCTATGACTAGCCGCAGTTAGGGCCTCCTTGAATGTTCTTACTGGAGTATTCTTCCTCCTGCCCTTCTAAAGAACCATCAAGACAGATCTTTCTAGGCCTGCCTTGTTCTTTGGTGGAGGCCAGCTGTTAGTGCCTAAATGAAAATGAAATTAGTCTTCTGCCACTTCTGTAGAGAACAATTCTGATGGCAAATTTAAAATCAACTTTTTCTGTATTTAAATTGAGCTATTTTATACTTCTGAGCCTTTTAAATATAACTGGAAAATAAACAAGATAACATTTTTTAAACAGAAAAGTTTCCCCTTAAAAGGCAGATTCCATGTCAGGGTTGATATCCTTTTCCTTTTATTTAATAAAGTCCTTCATTGACTCTTTCCCCATCTTGAGGCATTTTTCCAACCATCTGCATATTCCCCAGAAGATTTCTAGTCTTATTAAAGTAACTTCATCCAATATCTGTAATAGTTTAGTATTTAATGAGCACCTGCTGCATGCAAAGTATAGCACTGAGAGCTACTAAGGATCCAACAAAACGTAAACCTCACAAAATAGGCTCAGAACTTTTCATTTGCCCAGATTTTATTCATACTAAAATTGCATTTTCCCAAATTTTATTCACATTAATAAATATGACATCCTGTGTTTCTTGCGCCTTTGTGAATCTAATTTAATGACTTTCAGTGAAATCGCATTGTAGTGGTAAGTTAATAATGACCACATATTTTATACAGGAAAGAATGGGAAATAATATATGAAAAACATTATAGAGTGCCAAAGTGGTATAAGATAAATTAAGACTATTTGAGTTGTTTAAATAAAACTAAATATATTTTGCTATATACATGTAGATATATACGTTCCTCTCTGCCCTCAAGGAAGCTTCTGTAGCCTCGTTATAGAGATAGGACAGGAGCACAACTAACTGATGAAAGGCAGTAAGGGAAACACCTGATTTATGTGAGTCTAGTACATATAAATCACGCTCCCAGCCGAGCAGCTGCACAAGCCTACGTTCCTTCCCACTTTGGACCCTTTAGGGTGTCATTGCTATTGTGTCACATGAAGACCAGGTCATATGCAAATAGCAATAATCTTTGCTTTCTCTGCACCTTTTACTAATTCCTCATGTTTTCCCAAACAGTGAGAGTAAGAGCAGAAGAAACTATATATTTTGTTAATACGTTGAAGTCTTAAGATAATAATACACATTTCTGATTGAGTGCCAATACATGAGAACAGCAGTGATCCTTTACTTCTTCTCTCCAGTCAGCGATCATACCATACTGCTCCTTCCGTGACTGATAAACACTGTCATGTTTTCCCTGCCTGGAAATCGGACTCATGATAGTCATTGCTGATAGAATGGTCACTGCTGAAGCACCCTGTAGCCTGTCTTATCCCTCAATTAAACTGTATGATTTTTGGCAAATAAACATGTGTTTTCTGCCGTATGGTTTTTCTTTCAGCCTCTTCTCCATTTCCCCGCTAATATTGGAGTCATTGAAAAATTATATTAATTTGTATTCCACTAGAATTCTCTTTTCCTTTTTCATTGTGACCTTGAGGTCTTGTACATAGTTTATTGCTGATACACATTTGGCTCTTAGTGTGAGCCATCTAATTCCCTCTCTTTGTCTCTGTTGCAGATTTCCCCTCTTTGATTAAGTTCCACAGTAGGGCCCCTTTTTGTCCACACTTAGCAGTTGCCCTTCTCTCTTTCTCCTCCCTACACATGCATACACACCACATCTCCCCATTCTCCAATCTCTCGTTTACTTTGTCACCCAGTATCTTGCTATAAAACAAATTTGACTGTGTTAAAAAGTCTTTTTTAAAATTTCTAAACCAGTAAGACAAAATCCAAACAGCCTATCCTTCATAAACCTTTTCTCATCATCTGGCCTCATATACCTCCTACCATCTCATCTCTCTTGTATTGATCTACCCACAATATACCCTGTTCTCCTCTTGTGTTCATCACCACTCCGTAGAACACCCTGAGGCTGCCCTGCCCCCTCTTTTTGTTTTCATCTTAGCCATGCTTCAACTCCAATGTCCCATCTCCAATGAAGTCTCTCCTGACTTGCCCAGAATCCCCTGCTCTTTCCTCCCTGCTCCCTTCTTCCACAGCTGCTATTGTGTATTATAACCATCTGGTTCTACACCTGCCCCATAGGCCAGACTATGAATTACTTAACAGTAAGGCCATGTCTTGTTCATTTGTTGTTTCCTGAGTACCCATCACAGTTTCTGGTACTAAAAATCTTTACTATATGCATAAGTAAATGTCAGAGAAATATGTAAAGGATTTTAGAAAGATTTCTATTTTAAAATTCTTGAAAAGCAAAGCTCCGTTTATCCAGAAAAATCATTTATATTGACCTGTTGATGTACCCGTAATACTGGAGAAAATGAACATTTATATTTTTCTTATGGTTCACAGTGATCATCATAAGAGTAATGGTCAGTTTCACACAGAGCATTACTAAAATGAACACCCACTTAAAACAGATATATTAGTTTTAGTGGGAGAACTCATGAAGAGAAAGATTTTATGTATGTTTTTTCTAGAAAGTTAGGGATCCAGTTTATTTTAAGACCTCAGTATGTGGTGGTTTTAATTTTTTTATGCATCCCTAGAAAAGACTACAGATTTAAGTTTCAGGTGTCGTGCCATCAATGTTGATCATATTACACAAATAAATGTGTAGCCTCACAACCCTATCTTGATATTTGAAAAAAGATGATCAAGATGGTACACATAAAAACTACAGTTTGTTTTAATTTTCTCACAATTACTTTTTAAAAAACAGCAACAAAAACTTTTAGGGTATTCAGATCAGTTCATTTCTATATCAGATTTATTCTAAAGTAACATAAACCTCAAATTAGACACTGTACGTCACACACAAGTTCGCCTTGAATCCAGTTGTTTGTTACACTTACGTACAAGTAACACAGGTTGTCTTTGCATCCAATTTATTGAGGACCTGTCATTTCTATGGCATGCATTAAATATTTAAAACTGATTATCATATTGTGTATCATCTCTTTTATTGTGTTCAGTGATTGATATAAAAATAACTTACTTTATCAAGTCAAAAAAACTATGAATCTCTTTATAAAAAATCACATATTGTCATTGTCAGTATAGATTAAAAAGAAAAGTAGAAAATCTGTGATCTGTTACAAATACTGGCAATTAGTTTCTAATTTGGATAGTTCATTAATTTTCAGACAAAGATTTTACACAACATAGACTTGTTTATATAGCTTTACATATTTGTTTTCTAATGCTATTATGAACTGTTAATTTGAATACTCATTTCTCTTCATTAATTTATGGGAGGATAAAATTGAAAATGGGTAACATTTTAAAATATCATCTATCATAAACATAAATTTTCAAGCGAATTGTTCACAAGAAATGCTTTATCTTCTCAGATCTTTAAATAAAATTAAATGAAGAATAGAATAGAATAGAATAAATTCATAAAATGTTGGTTTTAAGAAATTATTTTATTCCATTTATAGTTAATAAGTTATAAGTTAATAGTTTTACTCAACTTTTTTATAAAGTGGTTTGTTGAATATGCTTCATTTTTATTCCTGATAGGAACTAATTCCAGAGTTCTACTACCTACCAGAGATGTTTGTCAACAGTAATGGATATAATCTTGGAGTCAGAGAAGATGAAGTAGTGGTAAATGATGTTGATCTTCCCCCTTGGGCAAAAAAACCTGAAGACTTTGTGCGGATCAACAGGATGGTAAGAGAGATTTTGCTTTTGCTTGAGCAGTCGTCAGTAAGTTAACATATTACGTAGTTTTGTTTTGTCCTGTTCTTTACTATAATATTACCAGTTGCCACTTAACATCTATAAATACGAGGTTAAAATTTTAAGTGAAAAGGAGAACATTTTACTGTTGTCTTGACAGCATTCCTTATTGTAGAGTGGATTTTCCTTTCATGAGGGCTAATAAAGCAATGGTAATTCAGTTATGTTTGCTCCCTTAGGAGAAGGCAATCAGATGAGCATCTGTTGACTAATATAATGTATTCTAAAGTGCTTAAAATAAATGCCTATTTCTTAGTTTTGTCTACTGACTAAATCTGAACACATTTTTTACTTATAAAAACACTCAAAACAGAAAAAATTTATTTAGAACATATTTATATGTGGGATGTTTATATTGTGAAACTTACCTTAGGGTATAAACATTCTGAAATAGAAAACATCTTTTTTTGTTTTGTTCTGGAGACAGTGTTTCACTCTGTTGCTAAGACTGGAGTGAAGTGGTGCAATCATAGCTCACTAAAGCCTCAAACTCCTGGGCTCAAGCAGTCCTCCCACCTCAGCCTCTTGAGTAGCTGGGGTTATAGGCAAATGCCACCATGCCAAGTTAATTTAAAAAAAAAACTTTTTTTTGTAAGATAGGATCTCACTATGTTGTACACACTAATCTTGAACTCCAGGGATCAAGAAATCATCCTACCTGGGCCTCCCAAAAGAAAACATCATTATTTTAAGCTATATTACAGATATCTGAGTGTCCAAATGAGAAATGTATAAATAGAATGTTCACATATGGGAATTTGATGGGTTTTAGTACATTTTACACATATTTAAGGAGATTTTAATCCCAACATGGTTATAGTACATGACCATAAACCACTTTACAGAACAGCCTCTCTAGTGTACTATTGAATTACATCAATAAAACCAATGACACCAAATATATTTTTAACCCTGTTTCATTCACTCCCAAGTTTTTCCAACTGTCTGATAAATATATTTTATTTTGTTTTTACAGCTTATTTATTTGAATCAGAATTCAAATAAGGTCCACACATTGTGAGGGAATTCACATATTCCTTAATCCTCTTTTTTTAAATAGCTTAATTGAAATATAATTCATATCCTATGCAAATCATTCATCATTTAAAGTGAAAAAAATAATCATGTATATTAGTACATTCACAAAGTTGTGCAATCATCACTACAATCAATTTAAGAGTATTTCTATCACCTCATAGAGAATCCCATACCTTTGAACATCTTCCCCGATTTTTCCTGATTTCCCCATTCCCCCCAGCTAGCCCAAGGCAAACATAAATCTACTTTATATCTCCATAGGTTTGCCTATTCTAGATATTTCATATAAACAGAATCATAAAATACGGGGTTCTCCTCCCCTCATCTCGTTTTTTTGTCACTTTTCTTTTGGACTTTACTGTCAGTCACACATTTTCTTGTATTTTAGAGCCATATTTTCTGTCTCTAAGAAATATTTTACTTTTAATGTACTTTATTTTAGAAAGTTGCTGATGTAATATACCTACGCTTAAAAGCGTCATCTAGATAATCTGCAATCTGGTCTCCCCACTTCTTTATTTTTTTTTTTTTTAGAAAATTTCATGTTTTGCATAAGTCTTATTGCCAATCTCTTTCTCTTCTCAATCTGTTAAATTGGCACTTTCAGATATATGCAGTTATTTCATACTGTTCCCTTGAACAATAGCTTATTTCTTCAATTTATATTTTTAACGTGAATGACTTATATTTTACTAATATATACTTCTGAAAATTTCTGTTTCTTTTTAGAATTGGTATTTCATCACCACATTATTCTTACATACTTGAATGTTATCTATAAATATCAATGTCAGGATACCAGCTCTCCATATGCAACCCTCCAAGCTCACTGTATATCAATATCTCTCAGGCACATCATTCCACTGTAGCTCCAGAGCTCAGAACCCTGCCTGGCACATACTAGTTGTTCAGTAAATATTTCTGAGTAAATGAATGAATTAATGAACTATAGAGGTGCAGTAATCTCATTGCTGTTAGCATATAGTCTATTAAGTACAAACTAGTCAAACTGAATGAATCCTTCACTCAGGCAAGCAAAGTGGCCAATAGTTGTTGGACCAATGCTTTTGTTTATCATGCTATTGAACAGAATTCTCATATGGGTGCTGATAATAAGTGCCTCTTACCTGTCAGGCATTAAGCAAGGCACTTGATTTTTTTTTTTTTTTTTTTTTAGACACAGTCTTGCTCTGTTGCCCAGGCTGGAGTGCAGTGGCACGATCTTGGCTTACTGCAAGCTCCACCTCCCGGGTTCAAGCCGTTCTCCTGCCTCAGCCTCGAGTAGCTGGGACTACAGGCACCTGCCGCCACGCCCACCTAATTTCTTTTTTTTTTTTTTTTTTTTTGTATTTTTGGTAGAGACAGGGTTTCACGTTGTTAGCCAGGAAGGTCTCGATCTCCTGACCTCGTGATCCGCCCGCCTCGGCCTCCCAAAGTGCTGGGATTACAGATGTGAGCCACCATGCCTGGCTGGCACTTGAGTTATTTTAACTTTTATTTTACAGATAAGAAATATGAAGGCCAGACATGTTTCATAATTTATCCATGGCAGAACCCAGATTCAAGTACAGGAAAGTTTTAACTCTCAAGCCATACTCTTTCCAATATGCCAGCTACGTCTGATATTATCTCTTTGTGAAATTCTTTGAGATTATTGGATCTCTACTTTTAGGTTAATAATTGTCAGTCGAGAACTTATTTATTTCCTTTAACATTATGAACATGGTTAATGCAGATCATTCACAGATAAAAGATTGCAAGTATACCAAGCTTAAATATGCATTAAAGAAAAATAGAGTAGTTATCTTTATTATCCACTGGACATTTCACATTTATTAATTTGCTAATGTTTACTGATAATGTACCAGGAAATGTATATGACATTTTTTAGACCTCTAAACATGCAGTGATGCAGACTGGATGAGCAGGAGGCCACTGTTGCTTCCCAGTCCCAGGACTAGGCCACATTTCCTGCTAGGAGAGTACTGTTTTAAGTGGTGCCCATTCCACTCAGTGCAAAGATAACTTTAGGAAAGGGATTTGCCTTCTTAATAAAAGACTAAAAGCTTGAGAAGAAAGTTTTAGGATGTGGGAAGATTTACTATGATACAGGGAAAGGACGTATGTTTTTAAAAATTGGGGAAATGGGCTCTCGTGTACGATCTAAACCATCTTGTCTGAAGTTTCTAGTAGAGGCCTAAATTAACGAAATTGTGTTGCGAAAAGCGTAGGGCATTTGGCATTAGCGTTTTTGAAAGCAGTTATCTAAGATCAGTTTCTCATTATAGTTATTTAAGCAGAGACTTTTTCGTATTGAAAAGAAGCCATTAGAGAGATAGCTCGTTAGAAAGATAGTGTGAGTGTCACCTTTCAGTTTTTGCAACAACTCCTTTATCTTGCATTACCAATAGCAAATTTCAGTGAGAACAAGCCTAACTAAGTATTTTAACTAGTACTCAATTATAATACATGTAAATACTTCTCCAAATAGAGAAAGCCTGGGCAGAATGCTGTTTTGAAATAGGCACACAGCTAGTCAGTGGTCTTGGTGAGAAGCTGCCTGCTCTGTAAATGAGCCGAAGTCATAACAAAGAGAGGTGGAAGTAAAGGTCCTCAGTGATATCTCTTCTTAGGAGTAGGTCTGCACTGATGCTTCCAAATGCAGACGTAGGAAACAGTGGACTAAGTGATTGGTCAAATGCCTCCAGATTCGTCCGCTGAAAAATAATTTGTTCGCTATAGAAATTGGTCTCCACAGTGTTTCCTCCTTTTATTGTCCTGTCTGTTCATGGCTCACGCTGTCTTCTTAGCTGTTCTGCTGTGTTCCTTGCTTTACCTGATTAATAGACATGGCAAAACGGGCTTTAAAGATAAATTGGTGAAACCTTGTCCCTACAAAAAAATACAAAAATTAGCCAAGTGTGGTGGCACGGTGTCTGTGATTCCAGCTACTCAGGAGGCTGAGGTGGGAGGATCGTTTGAGCCTAGGAGGTCAAAGCTGCAATGAGCCAAGATCATGCCACTGCATTCCAGCCAAGATTGCGCCACTGCACTCCACCAGAGCAAGACCGTCTCTCAAAAAAATAAAACAAAATAAAGATAAATTGGCACTCAACAAATGGTGCTGGAAAAATTGGTGCTAGAAGAGTTGGATATCTATATCCAAAAAAAGGAAGGGGAAGGTTTCAGTCCTTACATCACACCATATAAAAAAATTAACTCAAAATAGATCATGGACCGAAGTTTGAAACCTGAAACTATAAAACATCTAAAAGAAACATATAGGAGGAAATCTTTGTGACCTTATGTTAGCAAAGATGTTTTAGATATGACAACAAAAGCACAACCCATAAAAGAAAACACTGATACACTGGACTTTATTAAAACTTAGCTTCTTTGATCACTACTGTAAGAAACTTAAAAGACAAGCCACAGGATGAGAAAAAAAATTTCAAAACACATCTAATAAAGGACTAGGATCTAAAATATGTAAAGAGCACTAAAAAATAAATACATTAAGAGAATTAATTTTTTAAAGGAGGGGCAAAAGAATCTTCAGCAAAGAAGATATATAGATGGCAAATAAACACATGAAAAGATGCCTCATATCAAAAATTAATCCACAAATTAAAATTAATCAAATTGAAACCACAGTAAGCTACGATTACACATTAGAATGACTTTAAAAATTAAAAGGGGAGAAAAAAAACCTCTGACGTCCCAAGCCCTGGTAGAGATGCACAATAGCTGAAATTCACATATCCTGCTGGTAGAAAAGTTTGGTAGTTTCTTATAAACACACACCAACCATATAATCCAGCAACCCTACTCCTTGGTTTTAGCCCCCCAAAAATGAAAACTTATATTCTTATGAGTACATTAATGTTTATAAT